ATTCATCTTACTACTTAAAGAATATTCGAAATATTCATAATTACCGTTGTTTTTGCATTTGGTTTGATTTAATTATTTTGAATTCGAATTATCCAAAAAACATTTAAAAAATTTATAACTATTTAAATTGGTTATTTTTATCTAATAAATCTATAATATCGAAATTAACCAAAAAATATTTAAAAAATGGCTAAACTATATGAATATACCAGATTGTAGGTTACTTTTCGTTTTTAGAAGTTTAGAACTCATTCGTATATGCTAGTTCCTTAATGTTTTAAAAGTCAATAATTGTAATATATGTTTACTAATAATTTATATTATTAATTTTTAATTATTTTTCAATACATTATATTTTAAAATCATTTTAAAAATGTTTATTACATAATTTTATCTAATTATACTATTCAACTGCTACAATGTTACCAATCAACTTTATATTTGAATTGTTCTCTATAATCCAACCGCCTTCTCTAACCGATGAGTCTAACCGCTTTGTTTCACCCGATCTACTATTCAACCGTTCAAAAAATTTCAACCGCTCGTTTCGAACGGAGTCACCAATCGGACCCAACATGAAGATGTAAACTCTATAAATACTCTTCTCTCTAATGAAGAAAAATTGAACATCTTTTTTATTTTTTACTTAAATCATATCTCTGAACAATTAGTTTTATTGGCTTCTCGAGACCTAGTCTCAATTTTTTTATTGACCATCTCATGTCACTTTTTTGGCCATACGTAACTTCTTTATCTTCAAAATACCATTTATTTTTTACCTTTTCACCTTAAAATGCTTATTTAACATGTAAACCGCAAACCAGTCATTTCGGCCTGATGTCTCAATACTCTATCTTCTCCTGTTTTTATACTTCTTTCTTGGCTTTTCACAAACTTAACACCAAAGTCTTTATGTTATTTTTTTCTGATTTAAATGTCAGAAGTCATATGTATCGTGTTTTTCTTATCTATAAAAACATATGTTGTTTATGTAAAAAATTGCATTATGATGATTGAATCTACGGAAAAGAATTCTCTTAAACAGTACCCTAATTTGATTATTGAACTTCTGTAATATTCTACTACATTTTTCTTCTAAGAAGGCTAATTGTTTAGAGAAAAGAAAAAGGGGGCATCTACGAAGGATTAGCTACAGAGTGATTTGCAAAACGGCTGCTCTTTGGCGATAAAATCCTAGCCGCCCAACAGTTTCCCTTCTCGATCTGCCGCGTTTGGCTCCGGCGGTCGGTGGCTAACATAGCATCGACGCCGAAAGCCTTTGTTTTTACTCTGTACTTGTCTTATCTTAGTCTTTTCGGTTACAACCACAGTTTTAGTCTCCAAGGATGGTTTCTTTGCAAAAGACTTGGGTCGGAGGGGTGAGTGATCCGGCGGGGATAGGCCTTAGGTGGTGGTAGAGGCTGAGCCAGATCTGGACGCCGTGGTGAAGGGTTCATTTTTCCAGGTGAAGAGATGTCCTTTTCTCCTTCAGATTTGGTTTCTCTTCTCACCTCTCGTTGTCTTGGGGAGTTGGGGTTTGCTTCAAGGAGAGTTGTGATGGTTTTGCCTCGGATTGGCTCTTGGTTCTGCTTCGTCTTGTCTCTAATTTCTTTTAACTTATGTCTCGTGTTGAAATTATCCTTTGTTTGGTTTTGTGGTTTTTTGGTTTGTTTAGTGGCCAACTTATGGTTGAAATTATCTTGTTTATGGTTTGACCGGAAGCTCTAACTTGGATTTTAGACATACTTTGGCTATAATCTCCGATTTCTTCAAAATTAGTTCTGATCTTTGAATGCTAAAATCAGTCATTGAATCGGGGTCTATTGGAAGGTTATGGATGGGTTATTTGCCATTGTCTCACCTTGATTTTTCTGATTGGGGGAGCAGTAAAATAGGTCATGATCTGTTTTCCTTTATTCAAGAAGAATTAGACCGTGCGGTTTGTCTACACTTCATATTCCTTTGGTTCAGGTTGGCTCTTGGTCATCGCCATACTCACTGGTTTGTTAGTTTAGATTTAACTTGTATTTTATTTCGAGTTTGTATGCTACTCTTATTTGAGGTTCGCTCCCCTCTTTTGGGCTCCGCTCTTGTTGTACGATCCGTAAGAGGTTTCCGATCAATGGTAAAATCAAAATCTTTAGATGAAAAAAAAAAATGATTGCAATACGAAACGTTTATCGATTTGGGGATATGTTAGGGTACGATGAGGTGCAGGAAGAGCACTAGAAGATGAGTTCATGACGTCCACGTGTGGTAATTAATGACAATTTGGGAAATGATCCGGTGGATCCAATCATTGACTCTGCGTTGCTCTCGAGTCTTAAGTCTTGACTATAAGTTTATAATTATTATGAATGGATAATTATCCATATAGATAATGATTACTATTTTATATTAATTATTGTTTACTTGTTGATAAGATTTATAATACTCACCGACTTACTCTTGCTATATATATGAGATGTAAGTTGAGTCCCTTCTCTCAACAATAATAAAGAAGATCACTTCC